GATTAGCTGCATGAAACATCACATGAGAAGCCTGAAGATACAGTTGGAGGTTTTATAGTTCCAGCAGTGCAGCCTAAAATTTATTATTCAGTTATTTTAGGTCAGGGTTTCTATTTTGGGCAGCTTTTGGTAAGGTAGGTAATAGATTAGTTTGGTAATAATCCAGCACAAGGCAAAAGTCAGAACTTTCTCCTTATATACACCTATGCCTGTTCCTCAGTGTAGTACTGACAAGGTAAGATTTGATGAGACACTAACCCTTGATGTTCTTCCTCACACATAACATGTCCAAACCTATAGTTTCCTAATAAATCCTGCTACAGAAAACTGACATCCTGCATGTAAAGCCACAAAGGGATAAAGCAGAATTTACTTGTGGAGCACATGTTACCATGGGCTAGTGTAGTAAGACAACCAGCAGGCTTGGAATGTTCCCAGCTTACCTGCTCAGCAGCTCCTGGCTCCCTCTTCAGAATTGCCTCAGCTGCTTTGTTGTTTTTGTATGTCATGGCACAAGCAAAGGGAGTCATTCCTTGCCTGTCACGTACATTAAGCTTAATATCTGGATGTGAAATCATCAGCTGGATGATAACATTATGCTGGTTGCTAATGGCAACATGGATTGGAGTTCTTCCTTCTGCATCCTAGAAGGAAACCAGGAAGTTTGTTATATCAAGATTCACTAAAACACAAATCCTTCCTTAACTCTGAAAAGAGGACAAAGGTATTTAGTTCTGTAACATACCCAGCTGCCTTTGGCTGGGACACCAAACAGTTGCAGTGGGAGCTCAAATCCACAGTGTAAGTGGAGCCAATTGTACTTGTTTCTCCAAACAGGCTGACCCCAATCCTGGTTGTGTAGCCATTTAAGCAGCTCTGGATACTTCCCATGTAAGGAACATTTTGGGGGTAGAAGTGAGCATTCAAGCCCATAGCCAAACCTCTAAGGAATTGCTTTCAAACTAGTATTAGTTTGAGATACTTGATGCTAACATTTTTTAGTATTAACAACTCACAGAATCCCATTCTTATCTGAAATAATGATGTAGAGATCACAGCACACAGATCTGAGGTACCTGTGCATAGATTCAGCATACAGGTATGTCCCTTTGCTTGACTCTCAGGTACTAATGCTAAGTTTTCTGAAAGCTAAACACTTGAAAATGTCCTAATAGAAAATATAACAGCATCAGGTATGTTTGTTATACAAACAGTAAAATAAAACTGTCAAATAAGTCATTTAATGACTTGTCTGTATCAAGCAGCACTTTGCAGCCATGGCTGCTTTGTGACTCTGTTCTAGTATTCATTTATATGTCATTTTCAGTAGCATCAGGACCTAGAGATGTTGTGCATCCACTTCCTTTGCTGCTATTTGTCAAGCTTTTGTTTAAGGATTACTGTGGAATCAAAAATGAAGTGTAACTCATAGTTACATCACCACAGTTTACTCAGCACTAAAAGGTACTTCCCAAAGATAAAAACAACACAGAGTATTCAGGAGTTTTACATTATAGCTGATCTAAGGACAAGGGGGAATGGATTAAGACTGGAGGAGGGGAGATTTAGGTTAGACATTAGGAAGAAATTCTTTAGTGTGAGAGTGGTGAGACACTGGAACAGTGTCCCATCTGGGGTCACTGGAACACCTCCCATCCCTGGCAGTGCTGAAGGGCAGGTTGGATGGGGCTTGGAGCAACCTGGTCTAGTGGGAGGTGTCCCTGCCCATGCAGGGGATTGGAACTGGATGATCCTTAAGGTCCCTTCCAAACCAAATCACTCTATGATTCTGTGTTTTTATGATACTACAGCTCTGCTCCTGCCTTTATTTCACACTAGGGACGGGAGAGTTGAACTGCAATCATTACATCAGAAAAACAGCACTTAAAGAAGTTTTCTGTATTGTTATTTTCCTTCAGTATAGCTGCCTCAATTAACCCATCTACTTGAATTAACCCATCAGACAGATAAGCACTAGACCTGGCAAGAAAGGTCAGGAAATAAAGCAGAACTGCAGCCACCCATCACACCAGCTCAGCCACAACAGAAGGATGTTCTTTTTCCTATCAAGCAAAATACACAGCTGAGCAGGAAGTTGGTTTTCATTACATTAGAGGCAAAGAATCAACTTCAAAGAAACTGTGCACAGTTTCTCTACATACTTGAGCATTGACATTGGCACCAAACTCCAAAAGGCACTGGACAACCTCTTCTAGTCCCCAGCAGGCTGCCAAGTGTAGGGGTGTCTGTCCATCATGAGCTTCCTCTTCCCCTTCTCCATTTGGGCCTGGCTTTCTGGGGCTATTCACATCACAGCCACTAAAACATAGACAAGACAGTAATTTCATTACATTTAATGCAAATTTAAACAGTTCCAAACAAGGGTCAGAAAAAGTTTACAAGAGCTGATCAGGCAACTGCTGACATGTGCTACATACACACAAGTTCCTGGTTTGACTTTTGCCATCAAGAACATGATGCTAATACAGGTAACAGAAGGTTTAAGATTAGACTTCCAGAAGTGCCACCAAAAGTCTAAGGAAGCACATGCCTGTTATGGACTCAAAATGCCAGGAAAATATATACAAGCACATGAGGTTTGTATTTTAGGGGGTCTGACCTGCGAATCAGGAAGCAGGCTGTTTGCTCACTGTTTTCATCAATAGCTCTGTGAAGGAGAGTCTGCAAACAGCCACTTGGTCCTGACCCCCAGCAGGTGGAATCACAGCCATGCCTAACCTGGAAGGAGAAGCACAATCAGCTAGGGAAGTTTTTATTTTTACATCTCTGGAAGGCTCCTACTACTTGATATAGTCCTTGATTAATGCTGCTGTAACATTATCCTTCAGAGGGAGAATGTGAGATGCCTTATCTAGCCTCCCAGAAGTCAGGAGGCTATTTTACTGTCTTCCAGAAAATATTTTATTGGTCTACTAGGTAATACTTAATGAGGTAGTGTTCACTAACAATGCAGATATTCATCCCTGTACTCTAAATAAACAAGTCTTTTGGGTAATAAATACTTGGGTAATAAACAGTTTGGGTAACAGGGTAACAGTGCTCACTTTCAGCAATGACAAGCACTTAAAAGTGACTCAAGCAGCATCAGACATTGTCTTGAAGGTCTGGTCCCTTTACTTGCTTTCCTCTATATTCAGCTGAACCAGGGTAGTTTTTTTTCAGGAACAGAATTTCTAATATTTAGCTAAGTAGCTCTGTAGCAAAATACAATGTGGCACTTAAAACTTTTTCCACTCCCCATTACAAACTCTTGACAAGGTTTATATATGAGTAGCCTCAGTGTTTTCTCCACAAATATTTTCATCCAACAGCAGCACAAATGGTCAAGTACAGTCACAGGATGTATTCCCCAGGTCACCAGCAGAGCTTTTAAATAGTTGTCTCCAGCAGACAATAATTGAATGTTGGAGACAAAGCTTTCAAGGAACTTCCTTATGAGGGAGACATAGGAGGCCTATTTGCACCTCCTAAGCAGTCTCCAGCTGAATCAACTATGCCTGAAATTAAGTCTTTAAAGTAAATATAAACCTTTAAAAGCCTTCTTGATGGAAGTTTAGGAAGCAATAGAAATCAACACATGCTCTAAACATACATATGGGTGTTCAGTTTTATTCAGGAAGCTGATCATTACACAAGTCTGGTATGCTAGAGACTGATGTTTTTAGTAGATCAGTCTCAACCTTCCTTTTTCCAGAATGAGGAATCCAGACAGCATATTCCACATTTGTATTACTGTGCTGAAAGATATTTGGCTATGCAGACTATAGTGTTTATAAAATATTTCCCATGAAGAAGGAAATTCTGGTCAAGAAAAATCTCTAGAAGTTAAGATAGTGGCACAGGACTAGTGTTCTTCACTTTGCTTTTGCTCATGAGCCCTTGTTTCTAGCAAGATGCACAAAAGTGAGACTAAATTAAGGCAACTGACAGTCTTACCAGAGTTGATGCAATATCTTCCAGGTTGTTCTCCAAGGCAAGCCATAAAGGAGGATTTCCTTTCTCATCTGGCACAGACATGTCTGCTCCCCTGGTACAGATAGCATCGACCACAAGAGGGAGCTGGTTTTTTATAGCTAGTTGTAGGGCAGTCTCTCCATCCTGTGTCCTGTAACAGGTACAGATTGAAGTGTCACTATTGCATTATAAAGTTAGGCCTCGAGTTACAGGTGAACAGAGCCAACATTTATCTCCTCACGTGTGTAGTTTTGCTGTGATAAGAACATCTCTACAGCCAAGCAAATGCATCATGGTAGCTTTTCATCACAGCTAGGTAGCTCACCTTTCTTTCCTTCCACCTTTAGTAGCAAGTGATTGATTTCTTAAGTTTGATAAACGTGTTAGTAGTGTTCATAGCTCAGAGACACTAATTTCCTTAAGTACAGCCATTGTTTGAACAGTGGTCCTTCAGAGCAAGCCTACAGCCACTGATCAGTTTCTCTGCACTGTGGTAACACTTCAAGTAACAGTCAGAAATGCCAACTGTTCAAAAACTGAAGCTAGAACAGCAGTATTAGCCAGTCTGTACCCAGGACATTCATTACAGTACAGCTCACCAAACTGCAAAGACAGCATGTCAGACATGTAAGCAGAGAAATGGTTTGTTCAGTCTAATCTGAACTTGTCTGGGAGATGCTCAGGAGGTAAGTTCTATCAGAATCTTTCAGCTGGAGCTACATCTAGTTAGTTTACATGGTAGAAAACAAACAGCTCCAACCAACTGGCAACAGATGTTCAGTACTATGAGACTACAGAAGTTCAGTACCATGTCTCTAGGACCTGAGTCTGTTACAGTGAATTCTGTTCTACCTAGAATTAAGGGGTACCTCCTCTTTGCAGCCTTAACAGGAGGTACTGACTATGGAGCTCTATATAGGTCCAAGTTCACATATGCAATCCCTCGGCTGTAACTAGTGCCATAAAAAGCACCAAACACATAATGCACAGACCATGATTTGAAACCAACTTCAAGCCATTACATGAAAGCAGCCATCACTACCCACTCCTAAATACATAACTGATACAACACTCAACTGGATAAGATCTTACCTGACGTTTATATCTGCCTGATGTTCCAGCAAAAAGAGGGCACTCTTGCTGTCCTGCCTCTGTATTGCCATGTGGAGCAGAGTCTGACCATCTGACATGGTGTCATTGATGGATGCCCCAGATCCAAGCAGCTGAGCTGCTATTGTGTGCATGCCTAAAGAGTTACAAGCTCATTAGTGTTTTACCTTCAGGAAGAGACACTGACAACTGAATGCTTGAAGCTTTGTTTTCAGTAATAACTGGAGAGAGATGCACTGAATCAAGGCTAGAGGCTAACAACATTTACATACATGAGCTAAACCAACTCAGTACTCTACTCAGCTTAAATATTCCTTTACAGACTTATGGAATAGCGATTACTTTGGTATGCTTAAAGACAGAAGACATGGTCTGGTACACAGCAGAGCTTTCCCATTAGTTCTGTCAACCTATAAATGGAGTCCTCTTTAATCACACCTAGCTTAATCCTTCATAACACTTCAGACTGTCCAACAAACATTTTAACTTTGGCATTACATTAATAAGCTATGCCCTGGTTAGCTTAGTTCTCCCTCCTTGATCTCAGAAGCAGATAAGGGCAATGGTAGAGAGAAAGCTACAATTTGGTTTCCTTTCACTGGAAAGGAAGGAGAGTAAAGATGTCTGTTAGACATGGATAACATCTAGCACTCCTGTACAGAGCAACATCACTCAGCATTCTGCCTCATCCCTCAAGGCCAGAGTATGAGCAGCCACCCTTGTTCAGCTGCTGTTTCCAGCTCAGTGTGACCACACTTGAATTGATTCAGCAGTGACCACACCACCCCTTTCTTTGGTCAATGTCCCAATACTGTTGAAATGTCAATTGGTTGCAATAAAATATATCTATTTTCCCCAAACTATTCCCCTTCACCCTTCAGACAAGAAAGCATCCTCTGAATCAGTATTTGAATTTCCATCCCCTTACTAGCTACCTAAGGTAACTCACCCTCCCTTTGTAAAGGTCAGCATTAGGGTATTAACCAGCAACCAGAACAGTGTTAACCATGAAGAGACAACGTGGTGATGTCTGATATGACAACTACCAGGGAGTCCAACAACTACCAGCAAAACAATTCCACAGAACTGCAAGTGTGAGGCAAGTGGCTCCAGGTGACCTGCTACTGAACAAGGGAAGCTGCAGGGCTAGAAATCTACCAGTAAGTCAGATGTGAACATTCAGTTTCAGAAGCTGAAGAATAATCTCTCTCCTTGACATCACCAACAGCACAAAGGACATGAACACACACCTGGTATTTTGTCTTCAAAATCTTTCCACATTCATAGCTTCTAGATCTCTGTAAACTCTCATCTTGTTTTGAAGGCACATACCTGTCCAAAGAGCCAATCCCAGCACAGTTTGGTCTCTCGAGTCCTTTAGACTAAAGTCAGGAATAATTTGCAAGTTGTTGGTAGCATGAAGAGCATTAGCTAGAAAAAAAAACACCACAAAGGAATTAGAGCATTCTTGATCTTGACCTGCAGTTGCACACTGAAAGCTGCAGGAGTGGCAATGTCACATTTTGAAGTAGGCTGTTTCTTTAGCAGACAGTTTGAAAGATCTGAGCAAGACACCTTCAGTTTCCCAAGTGTGATGCTGTTTCACATTCAGGTTGTATTGTCACTACTGCCTAATCTTAACACTCACACTAAAAACATTCAACTTCCTAGCTAAGAGGCTTAACCTGCCCCCTTTTAACTCCATTTCAAAACAGAGTGGCCTGTGCAAAGCTCTGAGAATGACAAGTGGAGGTTGTACTGCAGGATGGTGGCAGCATCCTTCTTTCTCAGCTCCCTGGATGGAGGATCCTCTCCTCAGTTCACCTACTCCCTCTCAATCCCTCTTACAGGAGGAGACAGAGTAGACTTTGATTCAGTTGTCCAACTCCCTTCCTGCTGTTAGAAAGGAGAAGCTGAACTAGTAGCATTAAATAATCTGTCATCAGCTAGTATTTCAGGCAAGTCTCAGCTCTTACTAAACAAGAGTTGGGGGAGGCAGAAGTCTCACCACAGGAAGATGCCTTTATCCATATTAGATGCCAACATTTACTTGAGCTACATGCTTTGACAGGGAGAAAAAAGGGATCTCAGTTGCACCACTAGAATCCAACCTGGGGCTGAGTGTTCATTATCTACAGTGAAGAATTTCAAAAGATTTATGGCCAAATTAATTTTATAGTCTTAACAAGCCAATTATTTGAGTTTAAGACTATGTTTAGTCAGTCTTACTAATTGCCCTACTTCAACAATGGTTAAAGGAAGACATGCTGTATTAGTGGTTTGTCAAAGCACATTTTAGATGTCACCCTGACACACCCATCCACTACAGCATCAATACAGCCTGAACCACAAAAAAATCTTTACCTTTTTGTTCCAGGATGACTGAAACCACATCTGGGTGATTGTGAGCAATAGCCATGTGAAGGGGAGTCTGCAGATAAACATTCTCTGCTGTTGGAGAAGATGTATCTTTCTGACCAACCACTGCTTCTGCAGTTTGGATGTTTGGATTGGCTCCTTGCTGCAGAAGTTCTGCTGTCAGGTTTGCCAGGCCATGCCTGCAGGCTGTATGCAGTGGTGTTTCTCCCTTTGGTAAACAAGAGTACTCAGGTTAACAGCTTGAGACATGAAACCCAGAAGAGAAGCAGCTTTTCAACTACTATGCCCACAAGAATTGGTGTGAAGAGCTTATGTGAAAAGTAGCTGAAGCTCCTCAGCACATTCAAACTACAGCAGTTAGCCTATATTAAAGACAACAGTTTTAAAATCAGGCACTGAAGGGAAGTGTTAAAAGCATATTAACAACCTGTGATGCTGCAAGAACAGTGCCAGGAGAATGCTGCAGGTGTCTGTTCACTAGTGAATACCTGAAAACATGCAAAAAGCTCAGCAGGTGTTCCAACTTGCTTTAAGTTAAGGTTAGTAACAAGAAATCTTTGCTATCTTATTTCTGAAGAGAAATAAGGAAACTTTCAGACTACAGTCTGTGTGTTTCTGCTTTTACCCATTTATTTTGGTGGTTGACTTTTGCTCCATGAGTTGCTAGGAAGAGAGAAGCTGCCTCATTTCCTGCACCAGCTGCCCTCTGAAGCAAGCAGTTTCCTAAAGAAAAACCATTGACACTGTTAGAGTGCTTTTCCAGCCACACTTTGATACCAGTATCAGTGTGCTACCACCCTCCCCACCACCATACATTAAAATTTGAAGCCAGCAGGGGAAATCCTACCTCCTAGCTGTCCCTCTGCAATACTGGACTGTCACGTGCACTATCATTTAGCAATTACACATTTTGAAACTGTAAAGAGGATGTTAAAACCTGGCAGGGAGTCCAGATTTTCTGTCAATTCCTGCAAGTCAAGCTCAGCTAAGGACCTGTCACTGTTTCAGCTCTGGGTAAAGCTACCACCACCTACCATTTACTATGCAGCAAATGCTGTTTACACCTCATTCAGCTCCTCAAAGCACAGTTAGTAATAAACAATGTAACAAGCCTCCCACCTACACAGAAATACAAAGCCTCTGTTTTACCTGTTACTGTGTCTGGAGCATCTGTATTGCTGCCTCGTTGGATCAACCTTGCTGCAAAACTGTTCTCATCAAATGAGGTTCCATTTACAACAGGGGCATCCTCAAAAGGGTTTACAGACTGATCAGATGACACAGTGATATACTGAACTGCAAGCCACAGAGCTGTGCTTCCCTCATGATCCTTCAGCTCCAAGTCTAGTCTAAAAATAAGAGTTAATGTTCCCCAATGTATACCTTAACAAGTTTCAAGTGTCTGAACAGCTGTACTAACTCATCTACTACCTCACTGACAACTTCTGCTTGCCAAGAAACCTACTGTAGCTCCAGTTACTTCAGAGAATTTGTGAATACTCTGAAACAAGCAAGACACCTTTCAGAGACCACCAGATTTAAGCTCATTGCTCCAAGGAGAAGCATGCCCTGCTAGACTTGGGTTCCAACTAAATGTAACAGAGACAAATCCTCCTGTATTTAAGCAAATTGTGTACAAGAACTGCAAATTCAACTACAAAGACACTGAGTCATAGGAGGTATTCTGCTTCATCACCCTAAAATAAGAAGTAATTTTTATTAGCTTTAAGCAGAACCCAAGTTGAACTCAAGAACTTATTCACACATGTTAAAGAGTCTTTTTACTCCTTTCAGCTCCACTACAGTTACATTCTTGCTACATTTCACCTAGCCCTCTTTTGAAAAGACCAAGATGCAGTTTGCTTCCCCTTTACAGTATGACAAAACCTTACTTGGCCTCTAGTGTTGTTCTGGCATCTCAAGTTATGCAAAACTTTAGACTTTTGCAAAGTTTCAAGTTTGCAAAATGACACAGAAGAGTTGTTAAGTCAGGTTTTGCATCTCCACTGTACAAGGTAACCTTAGTGGTTTTGACATTTAAGTGAGACTTACTGTTTGCACTGGAGAAGCTGACTGAATACAGGTTCATTCCTGACCACAATTGACACATGTAGTGGTGTCCTGCAATTGGAGCAAAGTACAGTGACATTAGTAATCCCTGAGCCCTCACAGATTTTGTCCATGATCACCCACATGACCTACAGATCCATAGGGTTCACTTTTGAGTCTCTGCTTTCAGAAGGGCACAAGTAAATCTTGAGAAAAAGAGCAATCTACTCATTTAGCCATGATTCCAATGAATTTAGCAGTAAGCAAATATGTACACTACTGTGACAGCTAACCTTCAAGAGAAAAGTACAAGAGCTTGACCTATCAGAACTGAGTAGCTAATATACTCCAAGTCTTTATGTAACTTGATGTACTTGTTTGCCAGCACAATCTAACCAGTCAAGCAGTTCACAGGCCCTACACTTCAGATAAGCATACTGCAGATAGTGCTTCTTTCAGATAATTTCAGTTTCTCTGACAGCTTCAAAAACAAGGACCTTCCTAGAATACTATTTGTCATCTTAGTTCACTTGTTTTACTGTTCAGTGATTCCAGAAAGGCAGATTCATTGCTTGCCTTGTGCTTCAACACAAACTCATCCCAGCTTTCTGCTTTGAGTTCTACCCACAGGTCTCAAACTGAATGAATGAGTTCACCTTTCCTGCTTTCAGCATCACTGGTGCTTTGCTGACAGACTTAAGCAGGTTCTTAGTGGGCTGCATCACTGCAGTAGTATCTGTTAAACTGGTAGCAGACTTTACTTCACCCAGTATTTACCTTCCTTTGTTGTCTTGCATATTTGGATTGGCTCCTGCCTGTAAGAGGGACTCTGCTATCTGTGCCATCTCTGCCATGACATCTGGAGAATGCTTCTTAGGGCTGTATGACGCCACGAGGTGCAGAGGAGTCTCCTGGTCTCCCAGTGTAGCAGCATTCACACGGGCACCATTTTTAATGAGAAAGTTTGCAGCAAATTTATCTCCTTTTGTGAAACAAAATAAGGTTATTTATGGATACAGTGGAGCCCTATATAAGTATCTAGAAAACAGACAAGATTTCCCTCTACACCACACAGCCATTCCAATACAAGTGTGTGCTCTTAGAATGCTTAAGCAATTCAAGAACACTTCACAGCAAAGTCAGGATTAAAATATTTCATAACAACCCCTTGGAAAAAAATTGTGCCCAGAGGTTACATGTGACAAGTTCACACACTGGTTTACTTGTTACGGTGATGCTAAGTTTGCCAGTTCCTCTATCAACATAAACCCACAGCTGCTTGAATGCACAACTGGACAAATTGTGAGACTAAACACACAAGTAGATTTTGAACAAAAGGTCCTGCTTCAGGGCATCAGTCAAAAGTGTGCAGCTGAAGTTAGTTACCATCTGTTCAGTATTGCTACATAAACAAGCAATAACACAGCCTTTGCTCTTAAAGTTTAGGTCCCATTATACACAGGGTAAGGGCTCCAACAGATAGGACCCACCACACACAGCATTGCTAAGAACTCCCTTGAGAGCTTCTTCCAAGTCAGAACTTCAGCCCACTTCAGTACAGGATCATACTAATTTCCCTTTCTCCAAAGACTACTTTGAAGAGACACAGACACCAGTTGCTTGTCCCAGATGCAAAACTGGAGAACAAGACAACTCTTCTCCTGTACAAGCAGCACAGATTGCTGCCCACAGAAGACAACCCCCCATTTTCTGATCTCCTTATCTGTCAGTCCCCCAACTCTCCAACAATCACAAGTAGTAAGAATCACGTGGCAAGTTCAAACAATTTGCTTTAGCTCCATTTCCAGAACATGTGATTGTTAACAGTGATTAATTCACTGAAGCTTTAGTTACTGAAAAGCAAGCATTCATTCTCAGAGCTCTAGCTTAGACTGAAAGCAGACATTAGAACTAGAGGACAAACACTAGTATTAAGTATAAAAAGCAGCCTGCTGCAATCTCTCTAGTGCTTTAGAGGGCTGCAGCCATCACAACACTGACCTATGCCTAGAAGGTCTCCTACTCCTGCTGCTGAAGTTTCATTCACCAGGTCAGACACCAGCATTACCCTGTTAGATATGCAGGAGATTAAAGGAACAAGTCGGGAGCTGCATTTTGAGCTCACAAAACAAACTATTTCCAAGAGTTCAAAAGAGCCTGTTGTTAAAATTAAACTTATGCTTTTGATTTGTAGCACTACAATACCTGTGAGGGCCAGTCACAGGTAAGGTTTCTGTGGTGCTTGGCTTTCTAGAATAGAGCTGCTGAAGAAACCATTGCAGGCAACCAGCAGCATGGGGCACTCACTGCAGATTTTTACCAGACTTTGGCCATAGATCAAGGTGCTGCTGCTCCAAAGCCTTCAGAGCACTGTGGTCATGGCCATCAGGTCCTATTGTGCTCCAGGTCTCCCAAGATGCATCTTCCACTTTAGAACAGCTCAAGCTAATCATGTAGTTGTACTCAGACTCCTCTCAGCTAACTCTGCTACTATTAACCAGAACTTTGAAGATCTTCAGATTGGAAAGAAACACCTCCACCTGCTCCTCATCTTCTTCCAGCCAGTTTTTCCTCCCCTAAGCCTATTGTCCACTAAAAAGGACCCTTGCTGTTAACCATAATCATAAGAATATGCTGCATTCAACCCAAATCTAGAAAAAGGCTTCCTCTTTACCTGCAACTAGGCTGCCATACTTGATTTAACTATCTGTCAGAAAGTCATTGTGTTGCCAGATCAGAATATTCTCAGTGTCTCCCTGCATTTCTTCCTTTTGCAGTCAACACTCTTCTATCATGTAGTGTAAGCTTAGCTCACCAGCTAGCAGGCTAGCTTTCAGATCCCAAACAAGAGTTTGTTTTTAAGTGTAAAAAAACAAACAACTAAAAAGGACAAAGTTCATCCTTAAACACAATTTTCTAACTGAAGTGTCAACTGTAAAGTGACACAGGAATAGACTTTGGAATATATACTGCACACTGGAAACAACTCTAAGTCAATAAGACTTCATATCTTATTTACTTACCTCTTTGGATGGCTTTATGTAATAGACTCCAGCCTCTCTTGTCTGCTCTGTCTACATCTGCCTTGTGGTTGACCAGTGTAGTTGCAATTCCCTCCAATCTTTGAGCAAGGGCTAGATCCAAAGCAAGATCTCCATTGTGATCCAATTCATTGAGTTTTCCAGGAAGCTACAACACAAATTCAGGCAACTGACCTTAGTCAGAGGTATGATCACTAGCACAACACAATAGTTAACAGCCCATTCCAACTACCACCATGTTAGACCTTCAGCTCTAATGAAAATGCTACTGTTGGCTTTAGGTAAATGCATCTCACACAGGAAAGCAACCAGAAGACAAACAAGCCTACCCAGAGAGCTGATCAATGAGAAAACACAAGGGTGTTTTTTTTTAGTATTTGCAAGCCTTGTTTAACTCCCAGGAAGCAAGACAGTGCACTTCTAAAAGATGCTGCCTATATAGGCATATTCAACATAGTACCAGGAAGAATTATTCAATCATTCCTTTAAGATACTTCAAATCCCAACTAGATTAGTATCTAAGAGTGCCAAGTAGTGCTAGAGTCCCAGCTTCCAATTAGGCATCTTCAAGGACTAATTGAGTAATTCTTAATAATTAATACTTGAATAATTCTTCCTTGCCCCTTGTTGGAGGATAACTTATTTGCTAGTTGTTTAGTGTTCATCTGAACAAATACCTGTTACTTCAAGCATTCAATAAAAAAGGAAAGGCTTTTGTTCAAAGAAATTATATTTGCTGAACTGCCACAAAGCAGCAAAGTTGACTATATCATTTTCAACTTCCAACACACAGAGCAATATAAGATACTGGATTTTATTAGATACGATGTGTTATGTTTAAGATGTTTCCAGAAGTAATCCATAACATTTAGTTCTGACTTTCTGGAGCCTTTACTGCTAGATCTCCATTCTCCACAGCTACAGAAGTAGCTATGGCAATGATAAACATGCAAATAAGAATTAGTAACAAAAATCACAAGGTTCAGACTGGGAGTTAGAAACCAATTATTTGGAACACCACATTCTAGAAGAGAGATCAAGTCAGTCTCAGTATACCTGTGAATCCATTTCTATGAGATACAGAAAGACTACATCTTCTCTCTCAACTTTAATAGCCTTATGCAAAGGATATTCTGTCTTTGATTTGAACATTTTATACAACAACTGAGCACTCATGCTGCTGAAGTCTTCTTTACGCAAGTCATCCTGGAAGCAACACAAAAGAGAAGGGTAAGCAAAAGTGCTACTTCATTTATAAACAAGGCATTGAACAACATCATGATGAAGTTCACAGAACAAGTTCAGTTAAAAGCTCCATTTTGATAACATTACAAGCAAAAACAATCCAAGACAACCTTTTAAGACTAGAAACACTCTTTTTAGGTTTCACATTTTAGCCTAAAGATCAGTCAGTGAAATTTCTATTTCCTTTTGTCCATAGACATGGAAAACTAGCATTTTACCAGACATTACATTTCTGATTCTCTATCTGGATTTAAATCACAGATTAGAGGTTTCTGACACAAAGAACTCCAACTACTGAAGACTGACAACTCCACAGAACTTTGAAAAACTCTAAATAAAAGTAAACAAACTTAGAAGTATAAAGACCTTATGTTTGATTTAGTTTTCATTTGACTAAACAGGAATAACTGCATTTCCAGATAAATTGTCAGAAGGAACCAGATGCAGAAGTTAAGGCAGGTTCAGATACAAGAACCTGTTTTTATATATTTATAGATCAAAGCACTCCCCTCTGCTTTGGCCTTAGCCAAAGAAGTATACAACTGGATGATGCATTTTAGATTTAGAATAACCTAAATTTTCCTGTACCAGTCTGCTGTTGACAAGTTTCATTTTCAAGGCTAATCCATTACACAGTTAATAAAACTTTCCTCCAAATAATAGATCAGAGCAAATAAAACTTCCAAGTTGGCTGCAACACTCCTTGCCACTCCCTCCATTACAGAAGATAAACTCTCCCCTGGATTATTTTTAGAAGTAAAAGCAGGCCTGGGATTTGTGATCTGTATAGACATAGACCAACTATGGATGAGCTTCTAAACATTGCAGAGTCCAGATCTGATAAACAACCCTCTTGCTTACTAGAATACAGTCCCTTTGGTTTGGATTAGGTTTAGGAAAGTAAGATGATTTTTAGTGAAGTATTTCCAATGAACAAAACATACTCCTGAGGTCAGTCAGCAAGTAAAATAAATTCTGCTGATTAAGTTCTTATACTCTGCATTTTTCCACATTTCTTTCTGACAGTACTTACCCAGTGACTAGCAATTATCTCAGCACAGTAATTGAGCAGAGTGCTAGCATTCAGCTCCTCAGCAGTCTGGTAGAAGCGAATGCAGTTCCTGACATTAACTAGTGACATAACTCCTTTTTCACATCTGTCAAAACAAGAAAGCCAGTGTTCAGTGATCAGGATGCAGCTTTACTGTAAGCACTCTCCCATGCTGTAACAGCATGTCCCTTCCTCCATGGCAGCAGAATAAGCTTGGCCTTACCTTACTATAAGCTAAGCAGCATAAACACACTCTAATCAGAATCCCTGCAAGACAGTTTTGATAAGGGCAGACTCCTCTTAGGGCCCATCTAAGCTAAGGTCCCATGAGAACACCACACACTGCAGGAGCCTGCAAGTGGAGACAGACACCCTAAGCTGTCCCAAAGGACCAAGCTGCAGTTTGTTCACTGGTATGAAGCAGGGAAGATGATGTCTATCTTCACAAACACTACAGTGATTACAAGTAGCTTTTGTGCCAAAGCTAGAAAAAGACAGCCCAAATACAGCTTATTGTTTAATGACTGTTAATGTTTAATACTGTTTCATGAAGAGAAAGGACAACCTTAGCAATAGGCCCCCCTTATCTTCAGAGGTGTGAAGCCACTAGTTTCAGTTTATAGGAAGAAAATCCTCAAAATGAAGATGAAGTTAAACGTGCCAGTGATCCCCAAGCAGTTATTAAAACCAAAAAATGGAAATACTTATCTCCAGGTACAAATACCCAGCAAGACATCTAACCATTACTAGCAGCATACTGAACATGGAATTGTCACTAGACCACCATGACCAGACAGCAGCTGAGGAATGTTTAGGAAGTACAACATACAGGTAGTTTTGGGCTGGCACAAAGCTTGAAGGCAGTGTTAGCATCGGCCTTATAGAAGTCACCTTCTTCAATCAGAAGAATTAACTGCAATTTATTTGGCTTCATGTTGGGGCCACACTTAAATCACAGATTGAATGCCAGATACTGCCACCCCAGAAACCCCCTGGGCAAAAGATTACTGCCTCAAAGGGTACTTCATCTTTGACTAAATTCAAGGCTTCAGAGTTGTAAAAAACTTGAAGAGATTTCAATTTGTACATTCAAGTTCTCAGCAACTCTAAATGGTTATTACACATTCAAGTTAACAACCCAGCTCCTACTAGAGTGGTGTAACCATAATGTCCTCAAAATGGCAAAGCATTCTACTGTAACATTAACCTTCTTTATAAACAATAACCAAGATGCACAGACAGCTCTTTCAGTTGAAAATTTTTCCCCTGTGGTATTTTAATAACACAAACTACTTGCCATTTACTCTCCCTAGCATTCTCTTTAACAACTCTGTTCTTGCAGCTCCCCAGAGCTTATTACTAATACACTGATCTCTACCTCCTCTTAATACCAAATTAGGGTCACTAGTTTGACAAGGAGAGGAACTGGAAAGCAAACAAAAAAAGCTATGAGAAAAACTGCTGCAGTAACTGTAGTACAAGGCTTTGTTTCCTCTGATCAACTGAACGTCATGCTGCATTACTGAAAACATCAAGACTTTGACAAAGCAACATTTTATCCAACTGCCAACAGCTCTCATCTTATTTCTGTTCAAACAAAGTTGAAGAGTTCAAGAACCACGACTCACCTTTCCCTAAGCAGCTGGAGCTGAAATTTATTAGCTAGTTTCATAAGCTCTGTCAAGAAGATACCATCTTCTCTTAGCTCAAGTTCATCTGTGTAGATCCACTGCAGCATTGCCATGGTTACCTCTGGGTCAGCATCTGGTACAGGGAGCAACAGGGATTAATAAAATACCCAAAGAACAATTGCCTATTCAAGTAGTTGCTACTCCTTTGATTTTTCAGTCACAGCTACCACGACAAAAGGAACCTTGTGGAAACTGCTGCTTTAGAGCAATAGAAACATCAAAAAAGAGACAAAACTGACCAGAAGTTGAAATTAGTAACAAGAGTGGCACGAAGAAGGAAAACTTTTTCTGTTGGAACATTGTGCAGAATTCAGGGAGCTCTGTAACATCTCCTACCTGCAACTCTAATATTACATCTTTAGGGGGTCAGTGATGCCCCTTTGAAGTCTTTGGTCCCTCGCATATGGCTAAATCCAAACCTACATTTGACAAGCACAGTCCCTTTTTCTGTTTAAAAACCCTCCCTCTTTTATATTTTAGCCACATGCTACGAACTGCTGCATCCCAGCAAAGGTACTTACACCTGGGTCATCACTACAAAATACTTACAACTTTCTACTGAAATGTTTCTAGGAAAGGTGCAAAAGAGCCAGTTTAAGCAGCTCGTTAGGTGCTTTCAACACTGATCACAAGCCTGATGTTTTTATACAGCAAGACAACTGGAAACCTACCCCACAGGACACAAGATACACAAGCCCTGTGTCCAGGGACCTTTCCCACCTAGTCAGAAGCACAGTGACAATCCTCCTTACAAGCATGTAGATGACACTCATCCCACAAAGATCAGACCCAATTACAAAAAACCACCATTAATTTAGAACAATAACATGAGTCCCTGAAGCTGTTTTGTTTTTAAGACAAAATCATACATGTTTAAGACACTGAAATCCCCATCCTAAAACATCTCCTTTACTTGGAGGGTTGCCCCAACTTATTTGCAGAGTACCAGACAGTTCTTGGCATGGCATGTGGGCTGCCTCCTGAGAAACAGCAGGTTTTGGCAAGGCAAATACCTTTTGCAGAACTTGAAGCAATCAGAAAACCTATTTGAGCTGCAGTATCAGCTCTGCCATGGCAGATAGAAGGGTGCATTTTCTCCCTCCCAACAAGAGTGCCTGTGTTCATCTCATTCTACTCTTCTTAAAAAATAGAAAACTCTACAGATGACATGAACTTTAAAAACACTGCACTTCAAATGCTGCCTCCATTTTGAGGTTTGGATTCAGGCAGTCCTAGCTTACAAGTCCTTAATAGAACCTCTTTAAGAAAACCATGACAGTTTTTAGGGAACAGCTTGCTGCTTGCTACAAATTTCATAACCTAACATTTGTGCTATTTATCAAATTTAATTAAAAGTTCAATTTTACTGTTGAAAGTATCATTTACTAGCACTTAAAGATAATTCTATAATAGAAAGTGTACGCATTGTCAAACATGCAAGACTGCAGCTACACCTGAGATTGTCAGGCCAGCTTTAATGTGGAGTTAGAAATGCCATGGATTGCCACTTGAAACAGAACTACTATTAACAGAAGAGCTTTTTGGTAATAATCTTCTGTTAGCATAGCACTCAAGAACTCCCTGGCATCTGTTTTCTTGTGACTGCAGAAAGATCCATACATTCTTTTGCAAGAGAGCCTATGATGTCTCATCAAACCAGCTGTGACTTGCTTCTTCCCAGCTTGTCTGCACTTAGGATTCACCATAAGATGAAGTGCAGAAAGTGAAGCCAATGCTTGACATTCAAGCCAGCTAGCAAACCTGCTTAACTTCATGCCTCTTTTTTACTGCTCACAAATTAAGACCTTCCTATACTTTTAAGTACAGAAGGAAAGCCTGTCAAGAGGTTACCAACCTGCAGAAACACTGCCCAGTGTAAGTATGGGCAAGAAACAGCTACAGCAGCACAAAACCCTGTCTTGGAGAGGACTGTCTGCCTTCCTAGTTTGCAAAGGTAGCAAAGTGCCAAAGCAAATAATATTTAAATAACACATCAGTATTTGCATTCATTTGCCACACATTGTTAACAAGAAGGTACTTCCATGAGATACTTCAGAGAAATTATGCACACTACCTCAAAAAGCCCTGTCCTTAGAAAGGAAGAAGTCAAGCTCCTCCATATAGATTTGTTTTAGTTGTCTCTAGAAAAGACAAACAGGCCACCACTCTCAACCCCTGTTCATTAAAGAGAAAGAAGGCAGCCTATTGGTTTCACTGGCACCAGCACCAAGCTCACAAGCCAACTACCACGTTTCAGGGACCAAGTTCCATAATGAATGGATTAAGCACCACCTTTTGGGGCCAACAGTAGTCTGAAAGGTACATAAGGAACCTTTTCCCAACAGACCTTTCCATCAGTCATCCTAAACATCTAAAGCTTCATCCTGGGATGGCAATGACTGACCTGACAGATCCAGCTCCTCTGCTGAGGCGAGGTTGGCAAGACTCCAAGTGTCACTGCGCGCCGCCAAGACGAATTTGTGAGCACTGATGTGTTTGTTCCCAACCTTTATCTTCAGATCACTGAGAAGAGTTTTAAAAAAACAAAACAACAAACCAGGTACATACATCACACAGGCTTCCCCTGTGCTTAGTTATGGGTGGATTCAGCATCTCCACAGTATCTATGTCCTCATATCCACATATGGACAAATCAAGGTACATGGAATTGGTTAAGCAGGAGATGTTGCCAGATGACACAACTCCTATTTCTCTAGGGAAATGCAACAAGGCACTAATATTTAAAGAGGCTGGGTTGGCTGCAGGGGCTTTTTTTTTTAACCAATTCAGAACAAATTGCAAAGGAACTATTGTAGGAGACAGGAAAATCCAACAATGAGGTTAAATGCTTATGTTGCTGTGTCCCCACTAATACCATCAGCTGAGCAGCAATGGTTTCAGGCAAGACCAGCAAGAGAACAAATGATGTTTGACACTAGTCTGAACACAAAGACAGGCTCCAAGAATCCCCAGTTCCCAGGAGACCAGCTGTCAAGAACACTTAGACTTCATTCTGATCTCTTCAACCAGGTTATCCTTTGTAGTTAGAAAGTACCTGCCCTGTTATTTTAAGACCCCATAGCTTGGAAGTGTTCTGACTGTGTAGGTGTATTTTCCTAGACTACTTTCTACATCAAAGCACTGCTAGAAACTAAAGTGCAGAATACAGAGATGTACTTAACAAAACTTGCATTAGGACTTGCTTCCTTTCTGTTGTTTTTGTTGTGTTTTTTTTAATTGACCACTTTTTACCTTTCAAATCCAAAAGCTGAAGAGAATTTAAGTGACCCAGCTCTTCTGACATATGCTACCTGACACATCTTTTACTCAGCTTGCTTTACTAAGTTCTTGCCAGACACAGAACCTTTTCTCAGGGAGGCTCATGAAGGTATTTTCTCCTTACATGACTGAACTCCTTTACTATGTGGGTATTGCTTTCATTAACAGCAAATAAATTGAAAAGTATCATTGTAGGCTCAGAACTAAATCTGTTCAGTGATCTGGAGCACTGAAGGTGATCCTTGATGTGCCTATGGATAAGAAAACATTAAACCTTTTAGAACTCAACACTAGTGAGGCTGCCTCTTGAATTCTGTATTCAGTTCTGGGCCTCTAACGACAAGAAGGGCATTGAGGGGCTGGAGTGTGTCCAGAGAAGGGCAACAGAGCTGGGGAAGGGTCTGGAGCACAAGTCTTACAAGTGGCTGAGGGACCTGAGGATGTTCAGCCTGGTGAAAAGGAGACTGAGGGGAGACCTGGCTCTGCAACTGCCTGAGAAGAGGTTAGACCCAGGGATTGGGGGGGTGTCAGTCTCTTCTCCAAGAAACTAGTGATAGAACCAGAGGAAACAAGACTCAAGTTGTGCCAGGGGAGGTTTAGATTGGTTATTAGGGACAATTTATTCTCTGAAAGGGCTGTCAGGCCCTGGCCCAGGCTGCCCAGGGCAGTGGTGGAGTCCCCATCCCTGGAGGGGTTTCAAAGCCTTGTAGATGTGGTGCTGAGGGGCATGGTTTAGTGGTAGCCTTGGCAAGGCTGGGTTAACAGTTGGACTTGATGATCTTAAGGTTTTTTCTAACCAAAATGATTTCATGATCATACACCCAGACAATTTTATCAGGTTTCTTTACACACAGGAGTACAGAACTGGTTCCAAGGACACATCCTTTCAAGATAGAAGGGCTTTCCTCTTGGTAGATACATCACACAATTAATCCATCAACTAGGTAAAGATCAGTTTAAAAGCACTTCTTTTCAAAGGGAGCTCTGTTGTTGACAGTGCAAGTGGTCAGTTTTCTTTAAACTTGTCTCAAATGCCAGTCTCAGAGATGAACTTACACTTGGAGCCCTTGATTCAAGAACTAGGTGCCATCTGGTACCTAATCTTAGAATGCTCTTCCAACTGCTACTGAGGACCCCATTCATACCAAGCAGCAGAGAAAGACCAGTACCTACTGCAGTCAAAGTCAAAGGTTCCTGTAATGCCTCATTCCCCACAGAAGGATTTCTTACCTGTACTGCTCCTGCTGATAGAGCTCAGCTACAATGGCAAGAAGTCGACTGATGAAGGTGTCACTGGCACTGTCTTGGTTGGCCTGGGCAGCCAAAAGATTGCATCTCCTTTCTGTCTCTGCTAGTTTCTTCTGCAGCTTTACATACTCCTGGCGGAGAAGCATCAGGTGCTTTTCCAGCTTGGCCACCTCCTCTGCAGGGGCACACAAAAGTTACTACAAGGCTGAAACAACCAGGGTTTTTTTGCATCTGAGGTTAACTTAACCCTACAAGCACTTTTTTTACCCATCTAGTGTAATTATGGAACACTCCTAAGAGTCTTCTCTTCCATTTCTTGAGCATCTCCCCCCTAATATTAAATCTTTTATATCAATCCTACCCATAAACACATCAAAAATCATCAGACACAGTGACAGAAGCTACTTACTAAGAAATTATTTAATCTTATGCAGTAAGGAATGCCACAAGCTTTCTAAAATCATGGGAGTCCATGACTGGGAACTATGGTGGGATAGAGAACTAATTCTTTAGTTCTTACCCATTCATTCAGTTAAGCTGCTGTTTGACTTATCACCACTAGCTGCACAAACCACACATAGTTACTCATCATTGTGCTTAATTGCTGATTAAGCAATTGCTGATCCAAGACAAGAACTACTGGCACTGGAAGTACCTCAAATAACTAAAGCTTTGAGAAATCCTCCTTTCAGACTGAGAGCACTACCTTCTATAACCTCAGTGAGAGGCACTTGCTGTAAGAGTTTTAAGAGCTGTAACACATGCATACCAGCCATGTACTATCTACTGCCCACTCCCAGAAAACATTTGATCTTACAGCACCTTTCAGGTGCACATTCAAGACAGTCCTCAATGTGCAGTTAACCAATATTCCCTGCCAAGGAGCAAAACCTCAGGTTTTCCCTATATACTGCTTGTTTAGGGTTAATAAGAGAGTCACATAAAACAAGAGTTGCTTTAAAAGCAGAACCTGCTCAATCCTGGGTAGAAGCATCACCTCTTACTGAACAAGTAGCACTACAACTCCAAGTTTACTATTTACAGTCCTCAGTTTTGGAAGGGGGCAGAAGTATCAGCCCTTTTAAAAGATCATGTAAAATGACCACTGTATCTTCAAGCTGGAACTCCTTTTGCCAGAGCATGTATTATTGCCAGCCCACATTATGTATGTCTCCCAGGCATAACGTACAACTACTGCAGGTGTGCACACATCTAATGAAGATACTTGTATGAAGGGACTGAAGAGACAGCTTTACTGGAAGATACCAGTAAGTCTGACCTCTTATCTGCTCCCTCCCTGGAGGTGTTCAAGGCCAAGCTGGATGAGGCTTTGTACGCTCTGGTCTAGTGGGAGGTGTCCCTGCTCATGCAGGGAGGTTGGAACTAGATGATCCTTAAGGTCCCTTCCAACCCAAACCATTCTGTGCTTCTATAAACATCAATCCAGCTGTATCAGTGAGGAGGATGCCTGGGTTCAGCA